ACATTGTATTGTATTTTTTCTACATAACCCCCCCCCCCTTCTGAATTTACCCGCACTGTTTTCAACCAAGTTTTCGAATTAAAAAGCGTCGGAAAAATCCCCCGATGCTCGCATTCTAATGAAATTTGTCCCATTTTATGACTGTTCCTAGAACTTCGAAAAGTTGCTGTAAGCAAGTATTTTTGATTTTTGACTATTGCTCAGACGCTGCTTTTGTTTGGGAAACTGTCGGCAATTCGTCCAAAAACAACGTTCTTTCGACAAGAATCCGCTTCGTTTGCCAGATAAAAAAAAGAAAAACGTAAATATCAAAGGGAAAAATCCCCCCAAGCGCCAGCTATAAGCTCAGCCCTCGTTGCTGATTTTTATCACAGCGCCCTGAGGTGTCGAGACAAGAATTACAATTCAACCGAAAGTGATTTTAAGCCGTCAGCCTGATGGTTAATTGAAAAAACGACACGCTGGAGCGACAGCCAGCCGATTCTCCCCCATATTAGTCAAAATAAGACATTGTGGTAGCATCGGAACGGCCAACTTCCAGAATAGCCAGAATCCAACATAAATAAGCATCCACTGGAGAGCTTCGATAAGACCAAACTTGTTTAAGCAGATTAACTGGAAAGTTGGGGAGTTGGGGAACGTTTTGTAATGTGTTAGTATATCGAGGCACCGCATAATATATGGATCAGTTTGGCCAAATAAAACCGGTCCGAATGGGGTCGGAGTCCCGATTAATCTGGACGGGACAAAGCCAAGTGTCTCTGATTGGAGATTCCAAGGGTGACTAATTGGTTCAAGTTAAATGTTGTATTTTCGGACATCGTGCACACTTTCCATATGAAACAACTTTCGGAACACCTCAGGTATGCGTTCTTCTTTGGATTTCACATCGGTCACACTTCCGAACTCTTCATCTTCGTCTTCCGGAATGATCTGCAATCGGGTGCGATCGCGATCTGCCGGCTCAGCGACAGAAGTGGCATTTTTATCAAAATATCCGGTTAATCTGAAAAAAAAGGGTTTTAAGTCGTTTAGTGAAAAGAAAATGAAGACTTTTCGGGTGACGATGCGCTTGAAGAGTTTTGCAAAATCCGTTTCGTTCCTTAGCTACAGCGGGAAGTTTAAAAGAACTGTTAAAAGGCTGTTTCCTAAGCTGTGGAAAAATGCTCCCAAAGACTATTTTCAGGCCAATAAATAGCTAAAAATTAATGAAAATTCTCTCTCGTGATGTGCAAAATTTAATTCTTCTGGCAGAACAGGAAATATTTACAAACTATGCGTCTATATTTTGTTTCAATTGCGATACTTGCGGTAACGAGCTGAAATTTTCCTATCAAATTAGCTGAAATTCTCTTGATTATGGTGCAAAATTATATTTCGGAAACCGATACAGCGGAAGGTTAAAAACATATTTTTTCCGTGCGTCCAACGGCCAATTTTCTGAAATAAATCCCTGCGAAGAATGTTCCTAAACCCCGTTGAAACGCCGATAGAGAAATGAACATTTGGCCTAAAATTAGTCAAAAACTTCTCACTTCTTAGCGCAATTTACCTTCGACTAGTAGTTCAGTTCAAAATGAGCAATTTTCTAAAATGGCCCTCTTTGAAAAAGGTTCTAAAACGTGTTTTCACGCCTATAAAGATATGAAAATTTGGCACAAAATTGCGGTTATTGTGCCCAATTTCGTTAGTAGAGAAAACAGTTTTTTGATCCTCAAAAGGGCCGTTTTCTGAAATACAGTTCTTGGCAAAAATGCGTCTAAAGTCGGCAGTAACTTTGACTGAGAGCTGCACATTTGAGTTAAATTTAGTCAAAATCTCCTCACTTGCTGTGCCAAATTTTCTTCCTTTAGTAGAGCGAAAGGTTTTTTCAGATTTATTTTTAAGCCTAAAACGCCTATTTTTTTATCAAAAGCGGCTCTAACAAAATGCTAAAAAATTCTGCCTTTAGCCGATTGAGAGCAGAAAAAATTAGTCAAAGCCGTCGAATTTTGTACAGGGGAAGTTTCCACAAAATTATTTTTTAAGCCTGAAGCGCCTGGTTTTATGAAATGCCGCTCTTGGAAAAAATGAGTCTAAATCCTGCTCTACCGTAGATTGAGGGCTGAAACCTTGAGTTAAAATTAGTCAAATTATTAGTACTTTTGGGGACAGATTTTATTCCTCTAGTGCAACGAAAAGTGTTTATAAAATGTTTTTTTTACGCCCAAAACGCACAATTTTTGGAAATTTTGCACTTTGAAAAAGCATGTAAATTTCCGAACCCTGGTTTCACGCCAATAGAGCTGAAATTTGGCACAAAATTAGTCAAAACCTGCTCGTCTATTGCTCAAAATTGAATCTATTTAGTGGAGAGGGAAGTGTATAAGAGAAAGTTTTTTCGATCCTCAGATGGACAGTTTTCTGAAATGCGGCCATTGGAAAAATGCGTCTAATCCTGCTCTACCGGCGATCGAGAGCTGAAAACTTGAGTTAAAATTAGTCAAAATATTATCAGTTTTGGGGCCAAATATCGTTCCTCTAGTACAGCGAAAAGTTTGAATAAAATATTTTTTTCATTCCCAAAACGCCTATTTTTGGAAATTTTTCTTTTCGAAAAGGCATCTAAACATCCAAACCCTGTTTCACGCCAATAGAGAGCTGAAAATTTGGCACAAAATTAGTCAAAACCTGCTCGTTTATTGCGCAAAATTTAATGTGCTTAGTGGAGCGGGAAGTGTACATGAGAAAGTTTTTCCAATCCTCAGATGGACAGTTTTCTTAAATGTGGCTATTGGAAAAATTCGTCTAAATCCTGCTCTACCGCCGATTGAGAGCTGACAACTTGAGTTAAAATTAGTCAAGATATTATCAGTTTTGGGGCGAAATTTCGTTCCTCTTGTACAGCGAACAATTTGTATAAAATATTTTCTTAGGCCCAAAACGCCTAATTTTTGGAAATTCTGCTCTTTCAAAAAGCATGTAAACTTCCGCACGCTGTTTTCGCGCCAATAGAGAGCTGAAATTTTGGCACAAAATAAGTCAAAACCTGCTCATCTATTGCTCAAAATTTAATGTGTTTAGTGGAGCGCGAAATGTACAAGAGAACGTTTTTTCGATCCTCAGATGGACAGTTTTCTCAAATGCTGCCATTGGAAAAATGCGTATAAATCTTGCTCTACCGGCGATCGAGAGCTGAAAACTTGAGTTAAAATTAGTCAAAATATTATCACGTTTGGGGCCAAATATCGTTCGTCTAGTACAGCGAAAAGTTTGAATAAAATATTTTTTTATTCCCAAAACGCCTATTTATGGAAATTTTTCTTTTTGAAAAAGCATCTAAACATCCAAACCCTGTTTCACGCCAATAGAGCGCTGAAAATTTGGCACAAAATTATTCAAAGCCAATTCAAATTATTTTTTAAGCCTGAAGCGCCTGGTTTTCTGAAATGCCGCTCTTGGAAAAAATGAGTCTAAATCCTGCTCTACCGCCGAGCTTGAGAGCTGAAACCTTGAGTTAAAATTAGTCAAATTATTAGTACTTTTAGGGACAAATTTTGTTCCTAAAACCATTAATACCGTTTAATTTTTAAGTCAACATGTACCGTTTTCTATTTTGATTTTCATTTCTTCGAATTATTTGTGTTCTGTTTTAAATTTTGAGTGGAAATATAAAGTTTCTTGAAAAAATGAACTTTGAATTAAATCGTGAATTTTTTCCAAAAAAGTCACTTGAAAAAAATCAAGCCAACCCTGCTTCCAAGTGTGAGTATTTTTTCGCAAAGTACTAACCTGGACTGCATCTCGGCCAGTTTTCGGGCACTGCACAGTGGCGTATCAAAGGGCAGCACCTGCTTGAACTTCTTGTAATCCACCACGTGAATCCTCTGGCGCTCGTCGTAATCCACACAGGGGAGAAACCGATGTCCCCACATGATATCCGCATTGCTGTAGGAGGTTCTGTTTTGCGACACCTGGCCAGTGATTGTCGAACTTCCCTCAGCTACAGCCACGATCTCGTACCTGCAACAGCCCGGCTGTTAGAACAAGGCCTGGATTTTAGGAATTTTTTTTAGGAATTTTAGAGGCTTAGGAACCCGACCTGGTGTGGAGGACCTCAAACGGCCGAAACTTGTAGAGCGGACTGTCCTCATCGATCACATGTTCAATTTCGAGTGGAAACAGCAGCAAACCATGCGGTTCGATCGTCATTTTTTGCATTTCAAAGTCCTCATCCAGATGGTTCTGCTCCTTGTCGATGTAGTAGAGGGAGATGTTGGTGCCGCACCAGATCTTCCGGGAAAAGTCGTGAATCCGGAATATGAAGCACAACTTGCCGTCGCGAAGACACACCTGAAATAAACCTCTAAAATGTCGTTTACGTTGAGCAGTTTTCTACCCAGCCGCACGGTACGCACCACTGCTTTTTTGCTGAAGAGCGACGATGACTTGGTGAAGGGCTTCGACGTCTTCACATAGACGGCACTGACCAGAGCGCCCTGAACGCACGTGTTGAAGATCGCCTGAAGCATCAGAAGCACCCAGCCGCCCACACAGTGTTCAGTTGGGTACCGATATCCGTACCCCACTGTCGTCATCGTCTCGATGCTCAACAGCAGGTAGCCTGCAAAACCGCAACTCCGCTCAAACTCCTCACTTAGAGGCTGCAGGAGGCCTACCAGAGAAGGTGCGGGCGTTCACAATGCAGGCCTTGTCCGTGTTGTTCAAGCTCTGGCTGAAGTCGCCGCTGATCTTCGCCAGGAACATCCAGAGGAAGCTGAAGAGGACGAAGCAAGCGAAGTTGACCAGGCACAGGGTGGTGAGGATCCAGCGCCACTGCATTGTGAGGATGGTGTTGCCCAGATCGCGGAAGAAAATGAGGTTTTTGTTGGGCAACTGTTCCAGAAAGGTGTTGAGGCGGCCCGATTTCCGCACCACTCTTGAGAGGTAGAAGTGGGTGATGAAACTGGCTCTGGATACTCTGGAAATTTGTGAGGTTTGAACAGCTTTGCTCTTTGACAAA